GTTTTGTAGGCTCCATTTGACTTTTTAAAATGGGGTTGGGGAGTTCCTAATTTAGAATTTGCTGGGATTAGAAATGCTTCAGAACATGAGAATAAGGAAGCTATGATAGTATTGCTGTGTAAACCCACTCTGTACTGCCCGGGGGTGGGGCAGGGGGTCCGGGGGTCTGTACTGCCCGGGGGTGGGGCAGGGGGTCCGGGGGGGGGTCTGTACTGCCCGGGGGTGGGGCAGGGGGTCCGGGGGGGGTCTGTACTGCCCGGGGGAACAGGGGCCTGGCAAAGATCAGGGCTGCGGAAGGAGCCGGGGAGGCCCCTGGAGACGGGCTGACCTGTGGCTGCGCCTCTCGCGGGCCAGGGGCAGAGTCTGAGGTGAGGAAACACCAACAGCCGCCCGCTGGGCTCAGGGAGCAGCGCAGCGCCGCCCCGCGCCGCGCTTACCTGGCCTTGCTCCGGGGCCTGCTGGAGCGGGACAGCAGCGCAGGGGCCACGTTCCCATGGCAACACGGCCAGGCCCAGCGCGCCTGCCCGGGTCCTTCCCCCGGGGGGCGGGGCTCAGGGCGCCAGGGCTCTGGCCACTAGGGGCACACTCACTGCTGTGTCAGGCACAGCGCGGCTGGAGGAAAGGATGGAAGCCCGCAAGGGTCCGCCCTAGCGCCCTCGGCCAAAGCCGCTTGCGTCTTGGGGACGCTTCCGCCTCAGTAGCACCACGGCGGCACCTCGCTTCCGCCTCGGTAACCTTGATGGTGATGGGCCGAGCCGTCACGTGACCCTGGTTCAATGCCTCGGCGCTCGGCTGTTCCGGGGCTGGGCCGCGTTCGGGGCTCGGCTGGCTCAGTCTGGCGTAGGCAGCCGAGGGCCCGGAGCGCAGCGGGAGCCGGAGCCGGAGCGGGCTGAAGGGAACCGGGGTCCGGCGAGCGGCGGGGGCGCGGAGCGGGGGGAGCCGGGCCAGGCCGGGCCGTGGGGCGAGGCGGGGCCTGGCGGCGGCGGAGCGGCCTGGAGGCTCCCCCCGGGCGGGGCGGGCCTGGACCGGCGGCCGCTCCGGGGCTATGATGCGCCCGCTCCGGGGCCCCGCATCCCCCTCGTGTCCCCCCGGCAGCTCCAGCCCGCGGCTGAGACCCCCCACCAGCGGTGAGTGCGCCCGGGCCTTGCGGCCTGCTCGGGCCGGGCCTGCCCCCGACGGGCCGGGCGGAGGCCGCCCGGAGCTCCCGCGGGAGCGGCTCCCCGC